AAAAAGAAAAAAGAAAAAAGAAAAAAGAAAAAAGAAAAAAGAAAAAAGAGAAAAGAAAAAAGAGAAAAGAAAAAAGAAAAAAGAAAGTAGAAAAAAGAAAACAAGAAAAAAAAAACAAGAAAAAAAAAAGAAAGGGGGCTATGTTGATTTCCTTCCCAAGATAGATGTGGAATGTACACACTGAAAAATCTCACTCAACAAGGATTTTTTTGATCACATGAGTGGCCCCACTGACAGCCCCCACAAGGGCAGATCCAGTTTTGTGGGCCACCTGGTTGGTAGGGTAAAACAAGCTGTGCACAACTGTCCCAGTTTTGGGAGATACAAAAAGTTCAATTTTTTTTGGAACAGTCATCAAGAAATATTTTGAAATAAATCTCTTATCTATAACTTAAATTTCCTTGTGAAAAGTAAATACAGTCATGTTTTTTTCATATAATTAATTTTATGTGTTTATTCTGTTTTCAAAACAGAGGGAAGAATTGGAGATAGTGCAGCCAAACTGGCTTGTATTGATGATGAGGCCAGCCCATGGATCCCATCAGGGAAATGTTGATTAAATTCCCCTGAAATAGTCTTCATGACCTGGCAAGACTGGCAGGTACATGTCATAAAAAGAATGGTATTGGAAGGCAATGTTTGCTAGGTACAAATGGGCCCCTTTGTACCTAAAGAGGCAATGTGTACATGTTGCCTTTGTTTTTGGCCTGGTGACAGGATCAGACGAGACACAAGAATAATAGAAAGTAAGAAGATAGCATTCTTTTATTTATCATCACAGCATTCCATTACAGATGATTTGATCAGATCAAAATAAGACTGACAATGTGGCATTTTAGAAGTCTCTCTTACATTAAGAAAAATACAAGATAAACTGCAAGGTAACACAACCAGACTTTTTAATGTAGCTCCACTTTGAATACCTGCTTTTCATCATGTAATCATTATTGTTTTTAGAAAAGATACTGGACCATTATTGTGAACTCCGTACTTGCGGCTCCCCAACAGATAGGTGAAGAGCTGATTGGAGGAATTCACTTGGGGGTTCTGCAGCCCTTTACAGGTCAGATATGCAGGGCCTGTAGTAGGGCTTATTTGGGAGCGGAAGCTGGTTTCAGATGGGTGACATAGCACTCGGCCCCATCTTGAGCTGTCGTGGAGCTCCTACCCATCATGCCTCGCTTGGGTCATGTAGAGGGCAGGGACCGCTGCCCCGGCTGACTTGGACAACGCCAGGTACTGGGCTGGTGGTGCCCGCCTACGTGCATCTACCATGATCAGGAAAAATCGAAGAAATGGTAACTTTTGGCGACGGACTGTAGATCAGGCGATGAGCTTCTAGCAAGACAGCTATAAATGAGAAGACAAGAAGGTTATAGACAGGGGAATGCAAGCTGATAAGATGTGAAGGATGATCAGGCCTCGGCCAACGCCTTCTTGGCCATTTCTAAGGCGCCCTGAAAGGATTGATGGCCGCCAATAAATCCGGATGCATGGACGAAGATAGCACCAGGAATGCCGATCAAGTCGCTGAGTGCAGAATCCCGGAGACCGCGCCAGGCTTCAGGCAGCGCCTTTCGCGACTCAAATCCTCCTGGGCTCACGGGAATCGCTTGGATCCTCCAGTTCTGACTCTCGTCTGCATATAGTACGTATAAAGGTCGCTCCGAGCTCTCGGTAAGTGTGGTCTTCTCCAAGGTGTGCAGATGATCCTGAAAAAGTATATAGAAAAGATGTGTTGGGAGGGTGAAGTGCTTAAGGATACGATGACTTATTTGGGGGAGCAAAAGCGCACCTTCCAAGGGCAGAAACTGTCGAAGATAAGCACTCTGCCTAACTTGTCTTGGGCCTGGTTGGAGAAGCGGTTCTCCAATGCTTTTACCACCAGCTCTCGCCCAGGCAACCATGCTTTAGAGAAATAGTCCAACCGGGAGAAGAATTCCGATCCGGCAAGACTGGAGGCTTTCTCAAACTGAGTCTACAGGAAAATCACACAGGAGGGGAGGGTGGGATAATCGGGTTAGGGTTACTCTTGACAATCAATGTCAATATGCTCTGATAGCAGTTTTTCAATCGTGCATGAGCACCGATCGAAGGGTGTGGGCTTTGATTTAAGTTTCATGATACCAAAACTAACGTCAAGGATTGTATTGTTGACCGGCTCATTCCACACGGGGTTCAGCTAGGTTCATCAGTGGGTAGGACGAAGTATAAAAAATCAGCAACCGCTCGAAAAACATTCCCCTGAGACAAACCACTCGAAAAGCTGGGGATATTACATGACTTATACGGCTGCTTAAGTCGGTTGAAGATTGATACTTTGGTTTCAGGGCCTGCTTGGTGGGTTTCCCGTCCTGGTCAACCGCTTCATAACGTTCTATGCCCTGAAGATGACGACACGGAGATTAGTAAAATGAAAAAGAAGGGAAACGGGCCACAACTTACATTGTCAATCGCATCGATTGCTTCAATGAAACCATCGTACAGCTTCGCGACGAGGATGGGGACTGTTGGATCCTGGACTGGGAGGCCTAAGTGACTGGCAATGATTTCCGATCCAAAATGTCTGTGAGACAAGACAAGTAACATCAGCCAGGATAAAATGATTGGGAGAAAAGAAAAAGAAAAGAAAAGTTGGTTTACTTGTAAATCAGGCCGGCGGAGGAAAGCTTGGTGAGATGCTCGCCAGAATAGGTTTCAGAAAATTCGCGTTGATGGTGATCGTAACGATGACGTTCTGGGTCGTATTGTCCGCCTACGTCAACAACGATATCGCAAGTCTCAAGCACAGCAGGATCTCTGGTTCTCACCAAACCTAAGAAAATCAAGTATATAAACGTATATCGAATCAGCTGGACACGTATGTATGTTGAGACAAAAGAAGAAAAAAAAAAAGAAAAAAAAAGACAGACGAGATGATTTAAATTTATCCAAGCTTCTTAACAAGCTGACAGCCAATGCCTCGTCGGCATGGAAAGTGCCACTATGGGTTCCGATCAGAGGCGACTCGAGCCGAGGTTTCTTGATCTCTCCAGAAGCCGGGTTTTCGGGAGGCATCTTGAATGATCGAGCGAGAGAGGGATGCTGGGGAGAATTGAAGTGCTTGAAGAGAGTGTTCCTGGGGAGACTGATGGTAATATGGTTGTTGTACCATGAGCTGGTACAGCTGAATGGGCTGAATCTTGCCACTGTGGAGGAGGATGCGGAGAGTATGGACATACACAGCAGTCGCGCTACAACTTCGCCCCGCGTGGGTTTCTGACGGAACTCCAGAAAGCCATACACACCCAGCAGCACAGAATTTGGGCGAGTCGAATTTACCACAGACACTTCTTCTGTTTTTCAGCATGAGCCAACACTCCTCCAATATCGTCACAACAACCCAACTCGGTCCGCGAGGAATCCCCGAGGCCCTTTTCATCGTCAGCTATCCATCCCTTCGCTTCGACCACCTGATCACCTCAATTCCAATTCTCACATCATCATGAAGGAGATACATACATAACTAGTTGACTGGCTCACAACAACATTCCACAGGAAAACGTCGAACAGTACTTGGGTGGACCCGATGTCGATATCGAACCGGCTCTCCAAGCTTGGCAACAGATGATCGGGTATTCTTCTCTCCTCCCCCTTTTTATCATGCCATCTAACTAATTCACGGCGAGGCTGCCATTTCTAGAAAGTACCAATTCATGGAAAAGAGTACCCTACAAAAACAACTGGGCTTTGAGGAGAAGATACCCGAACTAGAGCGCACATTAGAGGCCGTGGAACTATTACAAATGAAAAAGGTACATTATATCAGATAAATAACTTGAAGGCGAAAAGAATAAAAAAAAAAGGTTCCTTGACCGTCTGGGTGCATTGTTTATGCTCACTCTTACAGGAAGCCAGTGAAACATTAGAAACCCACTTCGAATTGGCCGACACCGTCTATACCAGTGCGGTTGTGGAACCCGTTGAAGAAGTTTATTTATGGCTTGGCGTCAGTGGGATATCTCCCTTGATTTTCCCCTGCCTTGAATGCTTGAATGTTCTATGACTGATTTTGGCGCTTGGATGGGATGTTGATTATCCAGGCAAATACCATGCTGGCCTACCCACTATCAGAGGCACAGGAACTACTGAAGAATAAGATAGAATCGGCCAAGCTGAAGTTGCAGGAAGTCTCAGAAGAACAAGCATTCCTGAGGAATCAGATCACCACCACTCAAGTCAACATCGCCCGGGTATTCAATTGGGACGTCAAGAGACGTAAGGAACGTCGCGCCAAAGAATCCGAGAATCATCCCAAGCCCACTTGAGTCCTTATTCACCAGCCTGCTGTTTCACATTCCCTCATCCATCCTTTAACATTTCTCTGTTTTCATTGTCCATAGCGGGGCGGTCTTCAGTAATTAAACTCTTTCCTCATCTTGGTATTCCATGGCTATTGTCTGTCACAGAAATGAAGCACTGGTCCCCTTCAGTTGGGGACAGAGAACAGGAGCCCATTCTCCCGCTCGTAACCGTTCTTATCATTCAGCTTAAAGGAACAAAAGTGTCTTGTCTAGCGCGAACCTGTACCTCGCTGCAATACCATCAAATTTGTCTCAAGGTAATAACACAAGCCATCTGGTTGGATCATGTTATCTGGGAACATTTCAAACGACATTCACCTCTGCGTTTATTTGTTCCAGGATGAGTGGAAAAAAGAGAGGGGCTTACAAACCATTCTATTGGAATATATAACCTTGCTGGGTTGGGTACTCTCTTCTGATGAGATCTCCACATGAACTATTCAAATCCAATGCCATTTTTTTTAACATGCAAATTTTTTGAAGTTGACTTGAAGAAATTAAGATTCTATTTGTTAGATTGTGGTTCTGCCTCCCTAGGCGTTATCATAACTGCTGGCGTCTGCTACATTATCACCTGTCAGTTACAGGCTTTTCACCTTCCAAATGTTGCAGACACCAGTAGCATTCATTGAGCCATTCACAGTTGTTCATTTCCAAGTGTCCTTAGTACAGTGGTTAGCACACTTGACATGCTCATAAGAGATGTGGGTTTGATTCCCACAGGACCCATATTCTTTACAGGGTTTCACACTTCTTGGCATGAGTTCAAAAAAAAGCACAACAAAGCAAATGTGTGAAAGTCCAATTACTGACTCTGCTCATCTTGGTCTTCCACCTCTGGCCACAAGATGGGAATAGTAAATCCACTGAGCGTTTTAGACTTGTTTTGGATCATGTAGTGTCTCCATTCAAGTGACCATCTATTTCTGTGATTCCAGAAGTGATTCAGCCTATGAACTCATTACAAATTGATGTGACTCCCTAATAAAGACACATGGTGTATTTTGTTTGAAAGTGGAGTATTACCAGAGTTATGCTGGAGCTTCAATCAATGTTGCTGAATCTCAACCAACATACTCTTTCTTGGTGTTACTGTTTTATTACCACTACACATGGCACAAGTCGCCAGTCAACCTTTTGACTTAGTAGAAACCATCCTAGTTACTCTGAGATGTGCCATCCGGCCAAGTCAATATTGGTTGGATTCAGATTCATTACTATATACATCTGTTGAGTTACCTTGGGATTAGATTGGATTATTTGGTTCCAACTAAAAATTGATCACTTTAATTTATAGGAGGAACTCACTTGAGTTAGGTTTTGTTTGGGATTGTGTGAGTTATTTGGCAGACAGACAACAAAAACCTCCAACAGGGGCTGAACCCAAGTGATGCTACTAGACTCACAAGATGGATTGAGGAGTGATAAATAATACAGATTTCACCAAGGAAAAAAGTAAGAGAGATGAGTACCAGCAGTGGAGTAGAGAAAATAAGCTTAGTAGAAGCACAACTATAACTAGACATCAGCATATGTGAACAACATCACATGTGGATAACTTAACCCTGTTCACTGCCAGTAAAACATTCTTGGTTAAGTTCATTGTTTTCAATCTGAACTGAACCTCATGACCTATTGAATATTGATTGAGCCAGACTGATTTAACAGAACTCATACAAGGCACCTTGGAATTGAAATTAAACCAGTTGATTTCAGTCCATAGTATATTGGTTGTGTGTACATTTTATTAACTCAGGGATACACTTTGCCATGTTGGGGTTTCTGTTGGTGTTTGATACACTGATCTATGTAAAATTTAATTCTAATTAAGGCTTGAATGTAACAATTTACATTGGGATATACTCGATTCATTCATCATCAGTTGATCTGGACAGGTCAAATTGAATTGAGACATGACAGATCCTTTTGGATTTGTATCACATTGGATCTCCTCAACTGTTTTTCTATCAGTTTTTTTTGTTTGGTCTTCAAGTTTCCAATGTATCTTTACAACTCTGAGCAATTCTTTCAAGAAACGAAATAAAAAGTTGACTAATTATTGCAAGGTCAAAACTCATCAGTTTGATCAGAGCTGCTTTTCTTTTTTTTAAAAAAAAAAACAATTATTTGCGTCAGTTCCCTTGATGAATATTTTGGTTATGAACGAACCAAAGCTGCCTCTTCACCTCCTATGGTTCCCCCTTAACAATATGGGTGTTGCCCAATGTTCTGAACTATTTACTACAGGTGTGACGTGAGTGCCTATCATGACCAGTTTCTGCGTGGATTTAGATCAGCCTGATAGTATTTCAGGACCTCCTCCCAGTTACCCCTGTTATTGTTCTTGGGCCATTTTTGCTTATCAAGACAGAGTGAGTTCATTATCCGGGTGGGTTAATCTGGTCATGCGGGGCGTGGTCCGTGAGACTGTGTGTATCCTTTGCGGATCCGCGGATCCTACCGACTCCGATCAAACTATCAGACAATTCGGCCGTTTCTTTCCTCAGCCGACTCACTCTCGTCTCGTCATAACCACTCAATCTTCTTTCTCTTCCATCATCAAGCCTTGTGAAGCTCATCCGAGAACTGCCTATCTCTCCTTCCGATCCACAATGCTCAGCCATCCTCGTGCCCTGTCAAAAGGTAGGTTTTCTCTTCTTCCCAATAACTTTTTCACTTCGTCCACTGACACTTTTATTTCCCTTGGACAGTCATTAAGCTGCCCCAGCTTGCTCAAGCACGTACCTTCCTCACCTCGAGTCAGCTACAAAGCCCTTATGATTTATCAATCCCTAACCTCAGAATTCATAAGGACACAAAGGTTCGTCATCGCTGACTATTGAAGAACTGTTGCCTTTCTTTCCTTCAAGCTGACCTCCAAAATTAAAAATCTCTTACACATTTTTTTTGTCCAGGTTATCTGTCAAGGATTTACGGGGAAAACTGTCAGCAATTCACTTACACTCGGTTCCCCGATCCGGGTAGATGAGCGAGAGGTTAATTGACAAGCTTTGGGTGATGATCATTTTCTTAGGCGACGTTCCATTGTAAGGAAGGACTGGCTTACGGGACCAAGTTTGTCGGCGGTGTATCTCCGAAAAAAGCTGGCCAACAGCACCTCGGACTTCCCGTTTTTGGCAGCGTTGCGGAGGTGAGTCCAATCTCCATCTCCTTCACTTTTTTTTTTCTCTACGTAAAAACCCAACAGGCAGAGTGCGCTAATTTCTGGTTCCCCCCCCCCCTTTTTTTCTTGTGGATGATTGGGAAAGTAGGCCGTCAAACAAACGAAACCTGACGCCACAGTCATCTACGTTCCTCCTCCATTCGCCGCAGATGCAGTGATCGAGGCGGTAGAAAATGAGATCGGACTAATTGTTTGCATCACTGAAGGAATCCCTCAACAAGATGAAGTCAAAGTAAACTATATCTCTTTGCACATCTAAAAACCTTGTACTTTGTTTTACGATAACTCAAAAGGTTTTTTTTTTGGTTGTTCTTGCAACAAAAAGGTTGCCCAAGTACTCAAAAGCCAAAGCAAGTCTCGTTTGGTGGGTCCCAACTGTCCTGGGATTATCTCACCTGACGTGAGTGGTGGATGCAAGATCGGAATCATGCCCTCGAATATCTTTTCCCCTGGATGCATAGGTTTGTGCCCCTACTCAAGAGGGGAACCTCCAAACTATACCAATTACACTTATTCATCATGTGGTCAATATTCCTCCTTGATAGGTGTTGTATCGCGGTCCGGGACACTGACATACGAAGCAGTAGACCAAACAACCAAGGTTGGGCTTGGCCAAACGCTTTGTGTGGGTATTGGTGGCGACCCCTTCCCGGGGACCCAGCATATTGATGTTCTCAAGGCTTTCATGGAAGATGAGGCTACCAAAGGTGAGGGAGCATTTGAACCATCTTGTGGAAGTAGCAGTCCTTCCTAACGTTGTGTTTATTTTTGCGCAGGTATTGTACTGATCGGAGAGATCGGAGGCTCGATGGAAGAAGAGGCAGCGGAATTCTTGAAGCAGTTCAACAAAAGCCGCTCGGTACCGAAACCTGTGGTGAGTTTTATTGCAGGCCGGACCGCACCACCTGGGCGCCGAATGGGCCATGCGGGAGCCATCATCAGTGGTGGGAAGGGCAAAGCAGAAGACAAAGTCAAGGCCTTGGAAGAAGCTGGGGCCGTCGTCAGCGACTCGCCGGCCAAATTAGGCGACCTTATGCTCAAAGTACGATCAGCTATTTGCCCATGAATCCACTTCCCTTGATCACTCCAGCTGACCCTTTTCTTTACTCCTGCAATTGCTTAGGCCATGAAACAATCAGGTCTTGCATAGAGTTACTGTCGACGTTGGCCTTGTAGAATATTCTCGCAATTTTTTGGCAGCAGGAGGAGCAGTGCTTTTTTTGTGGCTTCGTTTTCTGTCGTTTTACAACATCATTGGAAAACAAATTGAATAAGGTCAAAAACTTCACGACAGACGACTGAAGGCAAAAAGGGCTGCATGTATTCTTCTGAAAGTGCCGAGAAAATTCTAGGCCGGCCACTTGCGCTCTACCAGTCCAGGTCTAAGTTTGAACTCTTGTATGTAAGATGCGGATGGGACTACCGGTATCGTTTGGATCTTGTGGTGCTCGTATTAGAATACTCGTGAATCAAGACTGAGCTTAATTAACCACCGCCTTTTTGTTGTCGTTGAGTCATGTTGTGGTTTCAATTTGCCTTGTCCAATTCTTCATGGCTTCTACAATTTGCGCACAACCTTCTCATCAGTTTGAGCAACTTGACACGGCACTAGAGGCAGTTCAACACGAGAATCGCAGCTACTACTAGTTGTTTTAAGATTTAGAAAACGATGGCGCACAAAGAATCTGATGCCTACTCCTCTCTCTAGTGACTAGCATTCTTGGGTCAACACACGGACTCTGTGATTCTGCCTCCCAGCGAAGAAGATCACAACAAAGCTTTTGGTGTTACTCCCACCTTTCTGCCAGAGTGATTCAAACAAGCTTTGATGCACAGTCACTGGGGTCACTCATAAAAGTTTGGAGGGGAAATGAGCCTGACTGGTGATAAAAACATATTTCAAAGCAATACATTTCAGAGGGGCTCCTCAAACCAATGTTTTGTGTAAGGAAACATTGAATTGACCATCCCCAATACCCCAAATCCTTCTGAAATTTTAAGATGATTTTGTACAAAATATTTCCCCACCATCGGTGGTAAGGTAAACATTGTAGTCTCCACCCTCAGCCATTACCTGATGGACTTTGAATGTTAAGTATTGGTGGCAAGACAGCCTCCACACTAGTACATGTAATCAAACTTCATTTATTCTGATATAATCAACATCCATATGGTGTGAGAAGTGAATAACAAGGAGGGGGGCAATGTATTTTATGATCCTGTACCCCCTCTGGGACTTGCCAGGGGTGTCCCAACTGGCGGATTATCTCCAGCCTCTGACCATTGTACATCCCCCAGTTAGCAATCTACATTCTTAATCTTGACCACAACATATTGCTAACTCTATCAACGTTCTTTTCTCTCCTCTCTATCAGCCAGCCACCAGGCCCAGCTGCCGCCACCATTTTTTTGGCCGCCGCCAC